AAGGCTATTGGTTGTTCAGTGTTTTAACAGTATATTAATAAACAAAAAATAATTTTTTTAGCCAATGAAAATAAGAGAAGTGTTTTGGAAGTTTATTTAGAATACTGTATGTGATTATTTTTTTCAGTGGGGAACAACTTTAAATACAGACTTTCTCTTCGTAAAGGACTGAGTTCCTCAATTATTCTCCTGGAAAAGGTTGTGACCTGGTTCAAGTAATCCAGGATAGGCTGTGTGCAATCTAATTGGCCTATTCTTGATTACTTGCACTGGGAGGCAACCACGACAAAGTGAACCAGATATGTGAAGACTGAAGAATCCACATTATTTCCCCCCTTTCTATTAATAGGAAATGCATACCCGGTGAAATGAAGATTACCGGTGCTTGAGTTGTCTTGGTCAGAGTGTTCTGCTATTGCATGAAGATTCCAAAATTCTAAAATTAATGTTTTAAAAACCAACTATATGGTCCTATTTCTAACATTACAATAAAGCTTGCTCTTCTGTTTACAAATATTTTATTCTTCAAAATTGACACTTTCATATGACAGAGAAAACGTATCTGTAAATATACTCTAAAACAGTTGCACTTAATTTGGGTTATGCCACCTATAACAGTTCTAACCTAAAAACTGACAAATATATGCAGTATTGTAAGACCTTGCCTAAAGCCTGGAAATACCTTTTAAATGTTAATGTCCAAGAGAAGGTTAATAAAAAGTGATGATATCCCTTTAAACAGTTACCAGAATAGAGTGGTAATTAGCAAAACATGCATCTCAAGAAGTACAGATATGAAAGAAATGTTTTTTCCCCTGCCCTGAAGACAGTATGTAAATCTGAGAGAAAAGCCAGGAGTCAGTCAGTCTAGAGACTTGAACTGAAGACATCATATAACAGAAAAAAGCCAAGCCACAAATAAGCATGCAGCACTGAGATTCAAGTCCAGTAACTAACGAAGCAAAGAAAATAATACACTAAATGAGAATGTAAGGAGGCAGAGGAGAAGAGAACTACACTGTCAAATGGAGAAAAGGTTCATGTGAAGTAGACCAAGGGATTTTGTAGTTGAGGATTACCAACACACTTGCAGTTGCTACCAACACCTGATAGGGTTGCCAACTTTCTAATGTCACAAAACCGAATACCCTAGCCCTGCCCCTTCCACGAGACCCCACCCCCCTCACTACATTCCCCCTCCCTCGGTGGCTTGCTCTCCCCCACCCTCTCTCACTTTCACTGGGCTGGGGCAGGCGCTTGGGGTGCAGGAGGGGGTGAGGGCTCCAGCTGGAGGTGCAGGCTCTGAGGTGGGGCTTGGGATGAGGGGTTTGGGGTGCAGGAGGGGGCTCCGGGCTGGGGAGGGAGCGAAGGATTCAGAGTGCAGGAGGGGGCTGCGGGTTGAGGCAGGGGGTTGGGGTGCAGGAAGGGGTGAGGGCTCTGGGGTGAGGCCAGGGATGAGGGGTTCAGGGTGTTGGAGGCAACTCTGGGCTGGGGCCAGGGATCATTGGTTTGGGGTGCATGAGGGGGCTCCGGGTTTGGGGGAGATCAGGGCTGGGGTAGGGGGTTGGGTTGTGGGTGTGGGTGTGTGAGGGCTTTGGGGTATAGGAGGGGACTCCAGGTTTGGGTGTGCTCAGTGCTGTGGCAGGGGGTTGGGGCTCAGGGTTGGGGTGCGGGCTTATCTCGGGGGGCTCCCGGGCAGCGGCGCAGCGGGGGAGCTAAGGCAGGCTGCTTGCCTGTCCTGACAGCACGTTGTGCATGCCTCGGAAGCGTCCAGCTGGTCAAGCGCTAGTAAGCAGGGGAGGCAGGAGGCTCCATGTGCTGCTCTTGCCCGCTGCAGGAACACACACACACACACCCACACCCCACCTCCCATTGGCCAGGAACCAGTGCTCGGAGCCCCATGGCCCCCCGCCCCTCCTCCAACTCCGGAGCCGAACCTGCTGGCCACTTCCGGAGCGCGATGCCAGGACAGGTAGGGACTAGCCTGCCTTAGCCCTGCAGCACCACCGACCAGACCTTTAATGGCCCAGTTGGCGGTGCTGACGAGAGCCACCAGGGTCCCTTTTCGACCGGGTGTTCCGATCAAAGACCGGACACCTGGTCACCCTAACGCCTGGTGGTAACTTTTCAGAAAGCAACTTCTATAGGGGAATGCCTCCCCTCCGCCAAGCACTCAGAAACCTTGTTTAGAAAAACATTGAGGCACTGTTGGAGGAAGTGTGTGTGTGCAAGCAGGAAACAGTTAGGCCTTATCCAGAAATTGGAAGTGGTTCTGGAGCATGTACTAAGAACTCGCACACATAACCAGGCATCTGAATTAGTGATGAGGAGAAAATCTAGTGGCAGGTGCCCAGGTGGCATAAAAAAGAAGAAGAAACTGAACTAGGGAGGCATGAGAAGGCCTGGAGGGCCATGTCATAATATGAGGCTGCTTCACTTAGAACGACACTGCCTCGTTCCAGTTCAGGTCAACTACCTGCTGGCTGCCACAGAAGCCCTGCAAAGGAAACATAAAAGAACTGATTTCAAATTGTATTTCTATTTCAACCAACCCTTATCAGTGAGTTTGTATACAAGAAATTCAGTTTTACTGTAGGTTAGATATGGCTGCCTTGGCATACGGAAGAACATTTTATATTGCAAGCACCCACAGTTTAAATGCCTGGGTTGGATTTTGTAATCATAGTCCACAGGAGGGAAACACTTTTGTAACCTAGTGAGTGGAGGTGGGGGATTCTTTGTTGTGGTGTGACTGTTAAAAGGGAAAGGCACTATTAAGGCACAGAACTTCTCATCTGTGGATACAGTAGAACCTCAGAGTTACAGACCTCTCAGGAATGGAGGTTGTCCGTAACTCTGAAATCTTCCTAACTCTGAACAAAGCACAGTTCGTGCTCCAGATCCAGCAGCTGATACTCTAGGCCAGGATTCAGCAGCAGCTGAGCTCCCTATTCAGCCCTGGCATGAGTTTGCAAACTTGGCCCCCTCCTGGCAGAGGGGGTGTGAGAATGAGTGAGAGAAAATGGGGAGGGGTGTGTGTTAAAAACTGTGTGTCCTCCTCTGAGGGGGACAGTCGGGGAGGGGGCGGGGGCCAGGCTGTTTGAGGAGGCACAGCCTTCCCTACCCAGGTGTAGTGTATTCCCCTCCCACTTCCTGCCCCCAACTAACCCCTCAGAACCTCCAAGCCCCACCCCCCCGCTCCTTGTCCCCTGACCGCCCCCTCCTGGGACCCCCCACCCCTAACCGCCCCTCCAGGACCCCACCCTATCCAACCCCCCTGCTCCCTGTCCCCTGACTGCCCCGACCCCATCCACACCCCCACCCCCTTACAGGCCCCCCTGGGACTCCCATGCCTATCCAACCGCCCCCGTCCCCTGACTGTCCCCCGGGACCCCAGTAGCACATTCCTACGGGGAGCAATTTTAATACACGACACCTGCCCTCCATACACTTTCGGAACCCCGATATGGCCCTCAGGCCAAAAAGTTTGCTCACCCCTCGTTTAAGCCCTTATGATGCAATGTCCCTTCTCTTCCCTTACTAACTGTTTTTAATTTTTACATTATGAAGTTCAAACTGGTGTTTCCATATCTTTCTCTTTCACTGTGTATATGCATGGGCTCACTGCACTTTTGCCTTTTAATATCACTGTTAACCTAATGAAAATAATATGTTAGCCAGTAAAACTCCCTTAAATAACACACAAGGCATTAAACCAGTTCAGTTTTGCATGTTTTACCTTATGATAGAGAAACCTATTTAATTTACCAGGCTTTTGCATTTAAGAGAATTTCAGCATTGTCGATTTCTTGTTAAAGTGGGAATTGCTAATTCAGTTCTATCAAGAACCTTTATCCAATGGTAGCAAGCAAGATGAACATAATTGTTTAAAGTAAATATTTAACTCTCTTCCCCCCCCCCCTCCCAGTTTACTGTTTTTGCCCAATTGTAAACTTCCTGGATAGGGACTTTTATCTAGGTATCTTATATGAACACCAAGCACATTGTTGGTGCTTAACAAATTTAGTAATGGTATCAATTGCAATAAACAACTGGTTCTTGCTACAAAATGGCAGCATGGCTCCTTTGCTGGAGCTACTGCTGCCTGAAAAGAGGAAAACCCAGAAGATTTACTGTATTTATGACAAAGCCTCAACTGAAGAGTTTTTACATGCCCAGAGCAACTCAAAATATACACTGGAAACTCATTTCTCCATTGAAGAGGTGAAAGCTTGTATTTTATTAATGGGTTTGGAAAATCAATAGAGTATGTTATTTGACATCCAGAAACAAAATTTGAAGAGAAGTATTTTATTTACAGAAGAAAAAGAAGAAGTCAATACATTTCAAAACTCCTCCCAACACAAGATAAAACTTTCCCTCAGATGTTGTTTCCTTTCAAGAATTCAAGAAATGTTCAAGAATTGAAGAAACATAAGCATCAAAGAGTCATGCTACTTACTGATTCTCAGGCCCAGATTTTTAAAGGTATTGAGTTGCTACAATCAGTTAGCAATGCCTAGCTGGTTTAGGAGCCTAGATCTCATTTTCAAAAGGGGTTTAGGTACTTAGGAACCTAAATCTAATCAACTGTCAATGGGATTTTGGCTCCTAAGTGCCTAAATCTCTTTTGAAAATGAGATTGTCTCCTAAATTAGTTAGGCATTGCAACACTGAGCCTAGCAATGTCTAAATACCTTTAAAAATGGGGGTCGCAGTTCTTATTGCTTTGGTGCCCCATTACATGTCTGTCTTTCTTTTCAATTTTAAGAGTGTATCTTTCCAGCAGGGCACAGTATTACCAGTGTGTAGTCAGCATGGAGCTACCAAGTACATATGTTCAACTATTTCATTATTTAATATTATGCTTTGTCTTATATCAGCCTTTTCCTTCATCTGAGCCTCCTGTGTCACTTATTAGTTCTACCTATCAATTTTAGGCTAACTCCAGCCTTTTTGGCTTAAGCCTCATTTGACCTAAACAGTTATTGTCATTTCAGGTCTATGTATTGAAACGACCACATGTGGATGAGTTTCTCCAGAGGATGGGAGAGCTCTTTGAGTGTGTACTCTTCACAGCCAGTCTAGCCAAGGTTTGTCGTTCTCTTCCTTCTCTTTAGTATTTTTAATGCTGGTTAGTGGACATTTTGGTTGGGTTTTCTGTGGATGATTGTTTTCCTCACTAGGTATGATCTTAATTTTTCCCCTTTTCTGCTTCTTTGCCTGACAGTGTGTACTTTGTCTGCTAGTGTGTGGGTAAGTGTTTCCATGGTAACAGTCTCACATATGGGCTTGTCTCATAATGTAGCCTCCATGCATTGCTCATGATGCCAATATGAAAGGCTTACAAGTTACCATGGTTATAGTGGAAAATTAGAACAAATAGTGTACTACATGAAGCAGTATATTAAAGCTGGGCATGAAATAAGGTATGCTATATCTAAGCTGTGTAATCAGCCAATAGTTCAGAAAGTACTTTGGTGCAGAAAACGTAGGACACAAATGTCTGAGATGTGGATGTGCAGTTATAATTTTGGTTGAGACTATTAAATGCTCTTCGTAAAGCTTGATCTATTTAGCATCTGAAAAGCTATATTTTGTGCCCTTTTAGCTTTGGTGAAATAGCATCTTATGTAAGTAGTTTTGTAGTGGACAGTGCAGCATTAGTTCGGCAATATTTCCGGTGGATTTGTATTTGTGGTTTTGATTTTGAAGTGAAATCAGTTGATTGGTAATTTTTTTAATTAATTTTAATTAAATATCTTTGGTTTAGTAATGCAAGTTAAATTCTAATCTTTTTGTGGCTTTCCATAGACTCTAGAAGTGGGAAAGACCTGTTAAGTCATCTAGTTCATCTTCTTGTCAGTGCAGGATTGTGTGTTTACCAATATTGTGTCCAGTCAAGTTCAAAAAGCTCCAAAGCAGGGGATTTGCACTAGTTCTCTTGAAATAGCCTTAATAAAAGGAAAGGCTTATTGACAGCAAGATCTATTTTGCTTGTTGTTCAATTTAGAAAAGTCCCATCAAATGATCAATCATATCCTTCAAAGAATTTGTGCTAACTGTAATTGTCGAGGATATCCGCTCTTACAGTCTGGTTTCCTGTCTAGGTGTCTCTCCCCTCCCACCTTCTTGGGCCATTACTATCAATTCTTGAGTCAAAATTCTTGCCATCATGTGCTATGGTACTTACATTATCTTTGAGGTGTGATAGGTAGCACTCCTTTCTGTGTTGGCATTATTCAAAGGAATGTTACAAATGGATATTTTTATTAGATATTTTTGCCTGTCTGCTCACAGCTGGAGTGTGCATGTTTTGGGGATCTTCAAATCCCTTGCTGACATCACAAGTCAACATGCATTATTGACAAAGGCACATCATAAATTAGGCAAAGTCAGATGCCTCCTCCATTACCCTTGACTTCACAGGTACATGGAATTGAACTTGGTACGAGTAGCTGCAGAAGTGGCATCGTGTGCTCTAGGTTTACCATTACTTTTTCATGCATTTTTTACAGTAGTTTTAAGTGAGATCTCTGAACTCATTGGCTTCTAGGAGTTAAAGGACACATGTAAAGAGCCCATGTTGAGGTGTGTTAAGATAATTAGTAAATCATAGCACGCTTTACAGTGCAAGTTATTTTCTTTCTGAAAGATAACTGTACTGCAGTGCGGTTACCAATTTATTAATAATTTTAGCTTTGCTAGCACATAAATTAATGTTAAGGAGAAAAAGATGAAGCAAAGCAGACTGTAGTTCTATCTATAATTGTCCTTTTTATTTGTCCTTAATGTTTAGTTCTAGGAAACATTGCTGTACCTACAGGCATGCAATTTCAGTTTTTTTAACTTCTGAATCATATTAACTTCTGTCTTTAAGTATGCGGATCCAGTAGCAGACTTGTTGGATCGCTGGGGTGTGTTCAGGGCAAGACTCTTCAGAGAATCCTGTGTTTTCCACAGAGGAAATTATGTGAAGGATCTGAGTCGACTGGGAAGAGAGCTGAGTAAAGTTATTATAGTGGATAACTCTCCTGCGTCTTACATCTTCCATCCTGAAAATGCAGTAAGTAGTCCCAAGGAATAACTTTCTCTCTTTGGTCTTCCATGGCCAGGATTCCACATTCAAACAATATTAAGTACCGTATATACTGGATCATAAGCCAGTTCGTTTATAAGCAGACCCCCCCCCAAGATGGATAAGTAAAAATAGAAATTTTTTATAACCCATTCATAAGCCGACCCTATAATTCAGGGGTCAGCAAACTTTGGCTCCCGGGCCATCAGGATAAGCCGCTGGTGGGCCGAGATGGTTTGTTTACCTCGAGCGTCCACAGACACGGAGGTAAACCTAAGTAAACAAAGTGTCCCGGCATGCCAGCTGCTTACCCTGACAGGCCGGGACAGCAACTGGTGGGGAAAATTTGGGGGGGGGGAGGAGAAGCTCGGAGTCAAGGAAGTAACCCCTGTGACCACCCCCCACATGACCCCACCCCTAGCCCAGGACCTCCACACTCTCCCCATCCCATCCCTTCCTACCTTATCTGGCTGGAGCTCCTCCGGCAGGCTGGGCAGTGCGGACGCAGCCTGCTCCGGCAGGCCAGACCGGGCAGCGCGGCTGCAGCACGTTCCAGCGGGCTGAGCTGGGCGGCACGGCCGCAGCGTGCTCCAGCGGGCCGGGCAGCGCGGCCACAGCCTGCTCTGGAGGGTGGGGCCAAGTGGCACAGCTGCAGCCTGCCAGCCCCGGAGCTGCAGCTGCTTCGGAGGCAGGGGGGAGAGCAGCGTGGCCAGAAGCGGAGAGACTCTGGCCCCGCCTCTTCCCTTTTGTCTCTGCTGGCTGTGCTGCCTCTCCTTGCTCCCTCTGTTGGGGGGAGGGGCTGTGTCCTACCTCTCCCTCTCTATACCTGTTCATAAGCCGACCCCATTCTCTGGTGCTTCCCTTTTTTACTAAAAAAAATTCGGCTTATGAACAAGTATATACGGTACTCAAATTTACTTTCAAAGTGTTAACTAGTGTCAACAGCATCGTCATTCTCTGAAACATTAAGTAGAAGATCAGGTTCTAGTGCTAGCTATAACGTAGTTAGATATAGGCCAAGCTTCTCCACGCTACTCTGCCAATTCATCTTTCTCATGCCTAGCTCTCCTTCAATTTTTAGCTTTGGGCATCTTCTGAAGAGACTGCTAATTGTGCAGAAAAACACTAAATGGTGTGATGTCCTTATAACCGCTCCCGGTACAGGCTGTTAGAAGAGAGGATATTCACCCCAAAACCTTTAAATGATTTTTATTTGTTTAATGGTGATTACAATACGATTATTATTTGAACTGCTTTGGGTACTCTGACTTTTTCATATGCGTGAAGTTATTTTAATAGACAAGCTAATAACTATTTTTACTGGCACAAGTTGAATACCTGTCTTTGTGGTTTTTTTATTTATATATTTTCCTTTATTGTTAATTAAGATTGTATTTGGGGAGAATTGGCAGACCTGATGCTGCTTCCTAACCCTCCTTTCCTTATCTGCTAATTAGAATTTCTGTTATGGGTCATTCTGTGATTAGGAATACCAGTCAACCAAATTATCCAGCTTTAGAAATAAAGCGAAGGGAAGAGGGTGGGTTTTGGTGGTAGTATAAATGCCAGTAATACAGATATTTCTCACTCAAGGAATTTCTTCGTATTTCCCTTTGGAGATTGAGAGTAGAGATTCTTGCTCTTGGGATGTGCAATCCACATGAAGCCTGGAACCCATTGGAAAGCTTTTGCAGTTGGGGGTTGCACAAACAGAGACCTCTCCATCAACCACCACTCTCAGTATACACGCATTCACTTCTCTTGCTAGTCACCTAGCAAGCTGGGGCTCCCTCTAGTTCCCTTGAAACATTAAGTTGCTCATCAGGCATTTTCTTTGTTTTTGAGGATTATTTTATTGCCAGTTGTTAGATTTAGTGCAGCTTTTAGCCGATATGGTAAAAAGTGAAGGTTTAAGGAAAGCTTCTTAAAACATCGAATTTCCGAACTCAGGCCCTCAAATCCTGATGCCTTGGATGCTTGAGTGAGAGACATTACCTGTTTAGTGCCACATAAGGCTTCAGTTTACCAGCTCTGCATGCAAGGATCAGAAGCCTCAAATCTAATCCATGCTGATGGTTAAAAATCAAAGCCAGCTCCAGACTACTTTTTGATGTTATAAAATCCAGTGCTAAGAAGTTATCTGAGTCATTAAATCCTGTGTGGAAAAGCGCTATAAGCTAGTGGCAATTCCAGTCTCTGGAGGACCAGAGAATGAGACTAGCTCCAAAACAGATTCTAATGCATTACTTCAGTAAGGTCCCATAGTGGTAATACACAAAATTCTTCCCTAGAGCCCACTCTGCACCTTTATGAAGCATTATTCTCTGAACCTTGCCTCAAAATCTGATGTACAGTACAGAGCAGTTGGGTATTTATTGTTCAAATATTTCCTTCTCAATTACACTTCCGTAAGGGTTTCTTGCTCCATGCATAGGCATCTATACGGACAGTACGCTAAGGAGAAAGAAAAGAGACTCACCTGTAATTGGAGTTTTTCCAACTAGATTATCGGTGTAGAGTCATAGTCTGCACCCTACTTCAGGCTATTCTGGATTCTAAGGAGGCAGAAGACATTGAAGGGGAGATGTGCCGTGCCTCATGTAACCTTGCTTGGAACATTCCACATCTGGAAAGAGAGTCTGCAGTTAGCTTTCCAGAGGTTCCAGTCTTGATGTGGGTGTGCAAGTATATCTTAAGGAATGTGGGTCTGAACTGGCAATGTACTTGAACCTCAGTTACAGGTGAGTAACTTTTCTTTATCATGGTCATTAGCTGCAGGTAGGATGCCTGCCAGTAGGTGCTGTAAGCTAATATTCTGAGGTAGATGGAAATTGTGCATGTGTTCTTGATATAGCAACGCTTCTTCTATTCTTCTCTTTCTCCGTTTCAGGTGCCTGTGCAGTCCTGGTTTGATGACATGACGGACACAGAGCTGCTAGATCTTATTCCTTTCTTTGAAGGACTAAGCAGAGAGGAAGAAGTTTACAGTATGCTTCACAAACTTTGCAACAGGTAGCCCTTAAATCTGACTGCTGCTGGTTGATAGCAGTTGCTACAGACTCTTTCTCCATCTCTCACAGCTCTTTCAAACTAAGCGTTGAGGAGGCTGCTCCTGTCAGAAGTGCTACTCTTGATCTTCCTGTTACATTGTACACGAAGGACAATCATGAGTGATGCTAGTAAGCCTTCAGAAGCCTGACATCCTAAGGTCACGTGTTCAGACTACTTTTTTTTAAAAAGAAAAAAAGAAGCTATTTTAAATGGGACTCTTTTAATGACTTTCGTAAGTGGACACGTTTTACTGGATCAGCTTTTCTTAAAACATGCCAAAAAAAGAAGCTTGTTGTATTTCAGCAGTCAAATTTCTCCCCCTCCCACTATGCAGACAGTTTCACCCTCTGCTTAGAGCAGTTGACCTGACTCTGAATTTTTTTCTTACAGAATGAAGTGCCTTTTTGAATGTTATTTTAAGATAAAAGTTCATTTTGTATAAGGTGTATTTCCAGACATCTTTTAGTCTTGTATTGTCTAAACGCTTTAAAAAAGAAAAAGGAATTTTTTATAGAGCACTGTAATATATGGTAACAAAGGAAAAAGTTGAAACAAATAAGCTGGGGTCCTGTCTCCATGGTGATGTTAAGTATTAATTACATTTTGTCATGCTCAGAAGGTTTAGGAGTTTGGGGAGGGGTGATTTTGGTTACAGGTTTGTGTTACTATGGTCTTACTCATTTTGGACACCGTTTGAACATATCTGCAGTTGTTTGGGTATTAGAGTATGATAGAATTGGAAAAATGTGGTGGGAAATAGATCTCAAGCACCTTTGATGTTAGATGGATCAAGTTCTATTATCTCTGCTTGCGCACAACTGCCATGCTTCTCCAATTTTTTAAAACATCATAATGAGAAACCTATTGGGGGGAAGGGAGGGAGAATCTATTTATTGATCTAAATTCTTTTGTTACAAAAACCCATCTGGGTAAGTTGGATGCGTGCTGAGCTGTTAAGAGTATTTTTTTCTCTTAATTGTTGCTACTGTATACTCACCAAATGGAGTTGACCATCGGCTGTTATACTGTTCTTTGCCACTGTGCCTGCGCTACAAAAACATTTGCTGTAAGCTGCAAATTTGGGCAATAAATGAAATGCAGGTGATATACCCCACCCTTATGTAGTAAACTTGTGGTATATGATATACCAGATAACTCAGTTAAAGGTGACCTGCAAAGGACTTTTAAAAATGCCTTTTGCTCCTTTATGCACCATAAAGAAGCAAAACGGAGGTATGAGCCCAATTTATTTTAAAGTGGGGGCTTTTTTTTTTTTTCCTGCTTGTGTTTTTCCTTAGAAATGTCAGGAATGTTAACTGATCTTTCCTGGTTTTTGCTGAACACTTGTTGAGAGTCTCAGATGCAGATTGGGAGCCATATCACCCCTGCTGGAGGTGTGTTTAACTAAGAATTCCTTTCTCTAACGTACTCTTTAGGCTTTGGAGTTAAATAGGTGTTAACTTAGAATGTTAAAAACAATATAAAAATCTCACTAGAAATCCTGTCTTCTCAGTTCACTTGGTTTTCATTCATTTGTGATGTCATAATTACACTAGTTCTTCATCCAGGGTAGACAAGACCTGAATTTCTGATGTTAAAAACACATGTAACTTTTGTTTTTAAGCCTTTTGAAGCAAAAAGGCACAGCCCTTTTTTTTTCCTTTCCTGGGTCACCTTTTAACCATTTTTGCACCAGTAGAAATCTAGTCATACAAATTAGCCATATTTGGCAGGCATCAAGCAAAGTTAAACTAATAATTTGGTGCTTTAATTAGCCTACTGTCAAATGCCGCAGGGTAGATACAAGTTGCCTTTTTACAGGTATGACCAATAGGAATTACAAGAAGCTGACCTAGATTGTCATCCTTGGCTAAAACATTTACTAAGCAGCTTAATAAATTGATTCCTAAAAGGGTGGGCCAGCCTACACAGGCCTGGAATTAGATTATCACAGGGGCAGTATAAGACTGAGAGAGGACTTGTCTCTTTGCAGTGCAGCTTTGCACTGTGCTCACAGTGAGGGTTTTCTAAGCAGTACCATGACATTTGAGTCTGTACAGCATCACTTTTTTGTTCTCTTACCAGTTGTCATTACCTTAGTACTGTATGTTTCTATGCCAGAACTAAATTCTGACCATTTAAAAAAAAAAATCTAGATGGTTTAAAAGGACGTATGGATTCTGGTTAGTCCATTAAATTTGCATTCAATTTAAGATCTTTAGTTTTGTTTTTGAATACAGAGTAATGAAACTGTAAACTGCCAAAAAGTTGTTCTCTGAGCAGTATTTTTAACTGTATTTGTGACCTCTGTGCCTCAGATACAGTCTGCAGGGAAGTATTCAGGTTGTAGTTTATTGTGCAGGTGTGATGAGAATGGCTGAAAAAAATTCAAAGATTTTCACACAAGTATTAGACCAAACAGTCTTACCAATTAGACAGTGAATAACCCCTTCATGAGACATTACCCCATTTAGACAGTTGTGATCTGTTGTAGATAAGACAAACCATGTCATTAGCTGTTCACATTTATAAAAGCAGTGATTTCATGAACCCAGTTGCCTTAAATGTCTGTGAATGAATGTTGATATTAAAGTGACTTGTATTGTTTTGAAATCAACATGTAATGGACAACTGAACTTCTGTTCCCACATCTGAAACCATTTTAATGACTAATACTATACAATCACTGTCTTTGTGTTGTTTCTGTACAGTTTTAATGCTGTTTGAGCTTTTGTAATCCACAAAGTTCCAGAAAAAAATTGGCTTCATAATTTCAACTGATAAAGCATACAAAATAACACGCAGCTCTCAAAAATGACAGAATCAGGGGTATAACATAGTAATATTTCTGAACCATGCTAATATTGTAAGTGCATTTTATATATGATTTTTGTTTGAGTTCTAATCATGGTAAATTTCACTCTAGAATGTGAGAATATTTTTGGATAATACCCAATTCCTTCTGACATCAAATGGGGTGGTTGTTTAAGATCAAGTTTTGGGTTTCCTAAGTGTTTGGATTTTTTATAGTATGTGAGCAACTATCATATATACCTTTTTTGCACTTTATTTTCCCACACTTAAAAAATCCAGATTTTTATAAGCTCTTTTGGTTTATATATAACTATATATATTTGAAGCACCTAGATTTTAACAAAGCAATATAGTTCTAAACATAATGCCAGAAGAAGTAGTAGAATGTTTGTAAAAATTGCAATATGATTATTTTGGTTTTACTTTAATTAAATGAGATTTTGAAAATCAAAACCGAAAATCAAATTATTTCCCAAAGTTCTTCCATATTTACATGTGCAGTAGTGCATGCTGCATCTGGGTCACCAAGACTGTTATAAACCTTGTCTTTCAATTATAATTCCCAGATATTATCGCAATACTATTAAAAAGTCTTTCCCAGTGGATCATTCAGTTCAGCTAAAAAAAATGCTACCTGGCCCGAAGTTCCGTTGTCCTTTCTATGTTGGATTAAAAAAAAGGTTATTTGCCTGCATAGGGATATATATATATATTTTTTAATTTAAAAAGTAAGGCAGAGTGCCATAAATTCTTGAAATTCAACTAAAATGTTATGATTAAATTGCCATCTGTAAACTAGGGCTGTGCGCAGAATATTTGTTAAACACCAAGAAGTTTTGAATGGAAGATTTTAGCAAATGTACAATACTACTGTATTCATTTAGGTAGCTTTGGGAAAAAAACAAAAACTGTTTCTTGTTTTTACCTTTAATTTCTTTTTTAAAAACAGTGAAGTTATACATGGAAGAAACCCGTCGCCTGAAGAGTTTGGTTATCAGTGTGTTCAATCACTTTATCACAGCATGATTTTGATTAGAGTGATTGGGGGACAATAAAATATCTAAATTACACTCGCTTGTACTGGGGTTGCCGCTTTGAAATTTCAATGTAAAAAGTCTGTAGCAATATAATTTACAAACACACACAATCCTATGTTTTACAGAATTTTTTTTTACTAATAAAACACAGAACCGCACAGCCCTATTGTAAAAGAAAAAAATGTTTGTGCCTCTGATTTCAAAGGTGCTGTGATGTATGCCTTTGTGTGGTGAGGAGGGCAGGTAAGACTTGGGTTGGGGAATTGCTTGAAATTCTATAGGCTAACTATGCAAAAAGAGCTGTTGGTTTTCTGTTCATATTTTATTGTAAAAATCCAGCTGTCTGGCTTTTTGTTAAAACTCTTCTGGGAACTTAAGAAGAGTAAGCAATGGACATATTGCTTGTTTGTCTGATAATGGAGCTGTTTACACTTTAATGCAATGAACAATCCAGCAATACTTGAGAAACACTACATATACAGTGTGAGTGTTTTGGGGCGAGAGAAGTGTTGTCAATCAGGTATTGAATGGTTTCTTTACTGTCACAAATAAAAGTTTTTAACAATTTAGATACTTGTGCATGTATACTTCTCTGAGAAAAATTCTGTCCTCTTATTGCCACTTTCCCCTTCAGTACTGATCATTTTTCTCTTCTGTCAGGGTCTTTATTCCCTCTGTGTGTGGTTCCTCTGTAGATTGGTAGAATCATTCACCACCATTACTCCCCCCTTCCCCCCCCCCTTTTTTTTTAAGCATGTATAGTAGTTCTTACTGAATACCCTGGCACCTGCTTGTGCAGACAAGAGCTGATGAACTCTGCTGAATAAATTGCTGGTGACTCTGGCAGATGTTCCTGCTATTTAGATCTCTTGGATGAGATCATACTATAACTTGTTCAGGTCTTAAAGATGTAACTTATTTTTGGAGGACTCTCAATTCGGCTGCCTGAATAATGGTTTTATAATATTTGCCATAGTTTAAGAAAAATCTCATTAAATTATGTACTGAATCTGGTTGAATAATCTACTCTGATTCATTAGAAACAGTAACTTTCTATAGAACCTTTCCTCCAAGGAAAGTGTGTACAGCTTGGGTGGTACATATTATTAACATTTTAAACTCTTAGGCATACACAGGTTAAGTAGTTTACCCACGGTTACACAGCAAGCAACTGCAATTAGGAATAGAATCCTGTTTTCCTGACTCCTGGTTCATTTCTGTAGCCATTTGACATCCCTGTCTGTATGGTAAGTTTAAATTTTATAGATTGATCTTATTTTTTCTCCGACTTTTTCACTTTACTGTATACAAAATGACTTGTGTTTAAGATCAAGCGCTTTGGCTCATGGCTGCAGAATAACGCTCCTGATGTTAACATTGTTATGCCCAGGGTTTAAAATGTTTCCTCACAAGTTTCTTAGGACCAATTCTTAGGGCAGAGATGATCTCCTCTTCCAATCATTGAGCCCGGAGCTTAGCAAGATTCGGAAAAGGATTAGATGTTGATTCAGGTAACAAGAACATCCAAAGTTCTTACAGTAAATAAGAACAAGAAAGAGTTTGGGAAGGAATGTGTGCGAAGATAGGAAATTCCATTTCATTGAGGAGTTCAATATTTCATTTTGATTCCGAACAAAACCCCAACATTTAAAAAATTCTCCCCAAAAAGGCATGGAGCCACCACCAGGCAGGCAGAGTTCTGTCAAAACCTTGCCTGGGTTCCACTGGAACTTCATCAAAATTGAGCGGTCTCTGCAAAACATTTTGATTTCGACAAATCTTCAAATTCTGACCTCCAAAAAAGTTTCATCAGTCTTTTTCCAACTAGTGCAAATATAAACCCTCCTTTCAGGGCTTGAGACAACCTCTAATGGGAATTAGAAGGAAACTGTTTTGGCGGGCAGGTAGTCCTAGAACAACCTACTGTAGCGTTTCTCACACCTTCCTCTGAAGAACAGGTACCATCCCCTGTTAGGAGTGAGAGCACTGGTGTGATCTGTGTGGCAATTCCTATGTTCCAGATCACATACTTTCCCTGCACATCTGCAGCATTTAGTTACAATGAAAAGGGAAGATTTGGGCAATATTTAGATAACATGCTGAATTTGCTTTATGGTGATGGCTATGTTTGCTTGGTAAAATCCCTCACAGACACACTGTTTGAACCTGTGCTGCTTGTATCATCCACAGCTCTAATCTGTGTTGCTCTGTCATCGATGGTCTTTACTACCCCTCTGATTTTGGTGGCGTATATAAATGTCATCCAGATTTAATTTACGCAAATGCTGGACAAAGAGATATGGAGTATTTATATGGAGCGCACAGAACTGCTTGCGTGTTCCATGTTACCTGGTTTAAAACAAGTATATTCTTGCAGTTCTGGATGGGGCCCTGCTTGAAGACCGATGGGTGATTCACCCTTGTGCCAGAAGCATTTCCGCCACATATGTGTTGAGAACCACTGTTCTGTATAATTAGGCTTGATTATTTCATTTTTCCAAAGATTGTACAAGAGCCAGGAATTCCCAGCACTGAGCTAAATGCTTTACACTGGGGAATCCCTGACTGCCCATTCAAGAGTTAATTATTTCACAAAGGTTTGCTTTATTTGTGATATTTTGTGATTCAGACTAAACTTGTTTAAAAAGCAATTTACTGTAATTTGGCCATCTATTTATGCCTCAACTCAGGGCATTCATAAACTGATGTGTGTGTATTGAAGGCAGATAAGATACTGTCTTTATCCTGTTCATGCCTGATAATCCACACTGAGTTTTCCCTCTGCTTGTGACAACTGGAAGCCAAGAATAGAACCTCTTTCTGTTAATGAGCCTAAGCACAACTCCCTGGTATACCCACCCCTAGAATTCTCTGCCTACAAAGGCTTCTGGAGCTCCATTTGTAACCGAATTTCTCATTCTTATTTCTTATTTATTGTTTTATGTTGGATTTGGTGCTCCTTATAATCTTGACTGCTAGCTCAGGTAAATTAAGCAACGTTAAGGCACCATGGGACAAGCTTCTTGTTGGCAACTCTGCCAAGTTCAGCTCCCACTTTTTTGCTGCAAGATTTACAGACGTGATTAAAACAATTCCTTCTGCTTCCAAAGCCGCCTATGGCTTATAGGTGTGGGTGAATAATGGCCATGGAGAAAGGGATTGG